ACCATCAAAATGCATGCTGATAACATACTCATTTATTGTTATGACACATCTGAAGGGTCATTACTAAGTTTGCTTGGAAAACATTGTCAATGTATTAAAAACAGATTTGTAGGAGCTATAAGAAGAATAAATTATGCTTGTGAGGCTCAAGAAGTTTAGCAAAAAACTAATATTTCTACTATCTGGACTTTCATGTTGATAACTTTCTTCTCTGTTGTTGGGCTGACTTCAAACTCTAGGTACAGAAAGCTGTATATAAAACCTGTTGCAGATAAAACATAGTGTAAATGAATTACTCTGCCAATTGCTAATTAAAGATGTAATCACAAAACCACTCTTAGTTTTCCTTTCCTATTATGCCAAACCTAACCCTATTAAAATTGAATTGTTAGAAGATAATTCAAACATCGTTGTACTATATGCAACTTAAAGCAAGAATGCTTACATTTGTTTATTAGAGATTTAAACATATATACAAGTGAAATGTTAAGATGCACAGTTTAAAATCACAGAAGTTCAAGGAAATGCAAAAGTTAAGGTTTCAACAACAGTGTTATCTCTGGTCCATTTCATACATCCTGTATAGTTTATTAGAAGTGATGGGCAATAATTTTTGGGGGAGGGCACCACTCCAAGATTTTGGAAAGTGGTCAAGGGCCACACTTTTCTGTGGAGGAGGTGTGGGGTTTAGGATGGAGGTTGGGTGTAGAAGTGTTACCTGCACAACTTTCTCTATCCCTTCCACACTTCAGGGACACACTCCTTTACCCAGATCCTAGGGCTCAAAGTGCAACCCTGGTTACTTAAACACCCACCCGTACCCAATTCCTAGGGCTCAGGACATAACTTCCTGCGGGTCTGCAGGATCTTTTGCCACTGAAAGAGCCTTACATAGTAATATTCTTATTCTCTATTTATTGACTATTACCAAGCAAGCAGAATATCCATGCTAAGCACACACAGTGTCTTGCTCACCAACCCTGAAAAAGACAGGCAGACTTCCCCTGTTGGCCAGGTAAAGTGAGTCTGTTGGGATCTTAGCTGCTAGAAATCATGGTCATGCAGAGGAGTTTTGGCAGCTCTGGTTTAAGGCTGTGTCTTGGAGGTGAGTTTTTCTTCCAGGTCTTCCCTCCTTCTTCTTGATGTTCCTTTCTTCCTTTCCTCTTTCCTTTCATTCTTCCCTTTTCCCCTTTTTCTGCTGGTCTCCTTCTTGGCCCCCAATTTATATAGTGAAACTTTAGTCCTGCTTAGCTATACTTTAAACAATTATTTTAGTATAATTTTACTAACCTATCATGGCATACTGTAACAGAATTACCTAATCAATCATCCCCCACCACCGTAGTTGATTTACACCTAGCAAAATTAATTATATAGCAGACAGAAGTGGTTACAAACCAGATCATACAAACAATAGGAAAGTGAGGACAATAATCATAGAATGAGGATTCCACAACCTCAACTATTGATAAACAGTTCTTTGCCAGATGAAATGATGTTAAGCTAAGTTTTTTCTACCCATCTTGATATCTGTTTCTTTATCTGGTGACAGTGGGTACCATTAGAACAGGATCTCCTTACAGTCTGGTGTGACACTATTTTAATGCAATTTAGATAGAATGTGAGTACATGACTTGAGGCTTTAAAAGCTAATGGCTGCTGCTCTTCCATCTGGCTGCAGAGGAAGGCTTTAGGCCTACCAGTATGACTACAGGCCTTCCAATATGGCTACAGAAAAAACATATTTTTACTGCAGGGCACATGGGGTAAGGGACTGGAGGTGTGGGTGAAGGAGAGGATTTTGGCCTGAGGGAGGGGAGAAGTAGGGGGTGCAGAGTCTGAGAAGGAGTTGTGACCTGGGGCAGGGAGATACAGAGGGTTTCGAAGGTGACCTAGGGAGGGAGTTGGGATGCAGGAGGGGCTGGGGTGCCAGAAGGAGGCTCTGGTTGTTTCTGGTCAATGGGAACTGAAAGATTGGCTGGAGTCAGTTCCTATTGGTCAGTTGTTTCCAGCTAATAGGACCTGTGGGCGGGGAGATCACCCAAAGCTTCCCCGTCCCTCCAGAGTAGAAAGCCACACGGAACAGCCCTGTGCTTAGAACAGTGGCTGCTGCATGCCTGAGGGTCCTGGCAGGGTGGTCTGTGGGCTGGATTGGGTGGCTTGGTGGGCCAGATCTAGCCCACAAGAGAGATCTTGCCCATGCCTGGTTTATAGCAGAGGAATTATATCCATGCACTATTTCATATTTTTGTCATTTCTACTATTGTTCTATTTAAAATACATTGTTAGATTTTTTTAACCATTTTAAAGCTGTATTTCTTTCAGTGCATCAAAAAAAGGACTGACAAGCTTTTATTTTAAGCCTATAAAAATATTCCTTTTTCAAACAAAGAGCAAGTATGGAAAATGTCAACCTGAAATGTGAATATTTTGGAACTTTTTAAATTATAACTGTTTAATCACCTAATAACTACATCTGTATTTCTTACTTGTGCTCCAACAGGAGCACCTGCTTTGAGACTTCCAGTTCCTCCATTTTCATTTCTCTTAAACAGAGACTTGTGTCTCGCTTTCCTGGCATGGGGGTATTTCCATGCTGCACAGCTCCCTGACTACACTGTGTTTCCCAGAAAGTGAGCTTGCCAAAATAGGCCTGCTCAGGTTTGTACACAGAGGTTATAAATAGCAAAATTGCCCACAGTTTTAAGGCATCACACAATCCTTACTAAGCAAGCACATTTATTCTTAAGATAAAAGCATTACAGAAACAACACATTAAAATAATAAAAGAGCATGCGTGCATTTTAATGAGCTTACCAGAGATCACTCTACTTCCAGAAAGGATTCTGGCAGGAGACAGTCCTTCAAATGGTTTTGTTCCTCATGACAAAGTCTGTAGGGGCACGCTATAACACACCAGCCAAAAGAGTCTTCCTGGAGAAGATAAGCTTACTTACCTAAAGATTTTCTTCTTGCCTGTATTGATATGTGCCCTTTCGTTCCTGTGAACATCCTTCAATAGTTTCCCTAAAGAATTTCCTTTTTTATGTCTCACACTCAATAGTTCTAACTGGTCTTGGCCCCCATCTTTTAGAAATGTCTCCCTTCTTATTCCCTTCAGTTACTATGTAACTCATTTATTTTAAAGGTTTTCCACAGACATATATTTATACAGCCATCATTGGTTTTTGTTTTCAGTAGAAAACTAATACAAAGTGTTAGGGCACATCTACACAGAAGGGCTAAAGCCGAAATAAACAATGCAACTTGAGCTACGTCAATTGCGTAGCTTAAGTCAAAATAGCTTATTTCAACTTTTGGCATTCTCTACACAGTAAGAAGTCTGAGTTAGAGCACTCTTCTTCTGACTCCCCTTACTCCTTGTAAAATGAGTAAGAAGTCCTCCAGCTCGACATTATTTTGACATTATGTCTAAATAACTGCTTGTAGTGTAGTTGTGAACTATGTTAATTCAGAATAATGTCCATCATTCCAAAATAACAGTACTTTGCAGACATAGCCTTAGAGAATATTGTCTAGGCAGGCTGCATGAGTCTTCCCTGTGAACAGTTTATATAGCCCGCTGTCACACATGCTTTTGTATGTATTGGTTAACTACAGTAAATATTTGCTTACAAAAATCCTATCTTACCCAGATGACTTCTTTGTTCCTCATTTGTATGGCATAAGATGAATTTGGATTGTTTTATCAGCATCTCTGGAAAGGGCTGTCTAAAGCAGCAAGAAGAGACTAATTAACTGTGGTTAGTTTTGTTTTGTATAGTCTGGACGATACAGTTATCCCACTATATATATGCACACACACAATAAAGAAAATGTAGTCAGAAAAATAGCAGGCATGCATAATCAAAGTTTTCTTTTGTGATTTTTTTTTTTTCATGGAAAGAAAGCTAAGTGAGGATTTCAAGCTAGTATTTTAAGTGGATTTTGTATGTGCAAAATATATTTTTTGTCAAAGTGTAACAGATCCAAGATTTACACACATTTGCATATCTCCTCTTCAAGCAGCAAGACTGAATTTCTGTTCTTTCCAAAATGAATCCATTAGTTCAATCAATCTGTCCCCCATATCTGGATAGTTGAAAACAAAAATTGACAATATGATTAAGAGATGGTTAACCTTTGTGGAGCTTGACATTTTGTGAGCTTCATAAACTGTACTTTGCATTGCAAAGCTAGTTAAAATTTAATTTATTATAGTTTTTTTATTAAAATAGTATCTGGGAGCTGTTATCAGGATCAAGAACTTTTTGTTGGGCATATAACATCATGTGCAAACATTCCTGAGAGTTTATACACTAAACAGCCTTTAATTTAATATTATTTAAAACCATGTTTACCAAAGGTGATTAATTTAAAAAAAAATGCTTCTAGCTAATGGGAATTTGTGCTATAATCTAGGGATAGAAAAACACCTTCAGAGGCTGGGCACAACTACTTGACCATGAACATACTGCCCAACAATTGTCAAATTTGAGCCATGATTTCAAACCCATGATCTTAAAATGCCTTTAAAATTAGGAAAATCTAGTTCTCTCATCCTTAAATATAATAAAGTATATATTTCTCTACGGGAGTACTGTGGAGAGAGTCTGAAATGCAACTATATTAAAATTTCTATTAAAATAACATATTTACAGGTAATGAAATTGGCAATATAATTCTAAGGAAATTGTGTCTTTAATGCACTGTCTACTGGTTCTACTCATAACTCTCTTTTCTATTTTTACTGGGGTGTGAACGGCAAAGCATAGTGTTTTCTCCAGGACCTTCCCCTTGAATACTGCAAGTTAAATAACTTTTATGGGGGTATAAATTTCATAAGTAGTATAGTATTTTATTTTCAAAATGAAAGCATGAATTACAAATATTTGCCATATAAATAGTAAATATTCACATACTGTGCTTAGCTGCCTGAATTGCATTTCATTTTTGGATGTTATATCACACTAATATCATTTCTCTGTTATCCATTCCAGACACAACATTGTTTTTTCCATCCTTCAATGGGAACTCTTATTTAGAACTGCCTTCAGTAACAACAGTATCCAAGAACCTGATTGCACTGGGGCAGGAACCAAAGAGAATTACAACTATATACTTGACAGTGAAGACAACTGCTTTAAATGGAACTATCCTTTACAGTGAGTACCAGATATACTTGAACCTTCAGTAGCAGTTTAATCTCCTACAGCTCTTATTAACTTCCAAGTAGATCCAGCTCATGTGTCCTATTCAATGATAGAATTACTCATTAAAATGCAGTAGAATCCTTTTGGTGTTTTAATACATGATGCATTACCAAATTGAAGCCATAGTTCTTCCTGTAATTCTGAAAAGTTGCTTAATTTATGATTCATTCAGGGGAACATAACTTACAAGTGAAAACGCTGCTCATGACAAGGAAGAACACAGCAAACGTATGACTCCAATAATATAGTGGTATAGCCATAAAACACAAATGCTGCAAAAATTTCAAACAATTTATTATGGGGGTGGCAGCTTCTTCACAGTTGGGTTGAGACTTACTTCCCATTATAAGTCTGATCTTTGTCCCAGAGTTAATTCTTGCAAAGTTATAATAAATTCTACAAGTTTGTGGTATTTCAGAAGGTTGCTTATGATTTTTATAAATCACTGCATATCTGCCAGCAGCCCCAAAGGCACTCTGGGCAGTTGCAGTCTGTGTGGATAGATTACTGTCTCAGGAGGGCATTTCTTACTATCTCCTTTGGTGTCTCATTTTCTCCTTTGCTCTGTCTTGAGTGCAGTAAGGTGGAGTGATACGGTCTCCCACAATATTCTTGCCAGCAAGCTAAAGAAATATGGATTGGATAAATGGACTGTAAGGTGGACAGAAAGCTGGCTAGATTGTCAGGCCCAATTGGTAGTGATCAACAGCTTGATGTCAGGTTTGTGGTCAGTTTCAAGCAGAGTACCCCAGGAATCTGTTCTGGGGCCGGTTTTGTTCAACATCTTTATTAATGATCTGGATAACACTAAGCTAGGGGGAGAGGTAGATACTTTACAGGGCAGAGATAGGGTCCAGAGCGACCTGGACAGATTAGAGGATTGGGCCAAAAAAAATCTGATGAGGTTCAACAAGGACAAGTGCAGAGTCTTGCACTTGAGAAGGAAAAATCCCAAGCACTGTTACAGGTCTGGGGACCAAGTGGCTAGACAGCAGTTCAATAGAAAGGGACCTAGGATGAGAAGCTGGATATGAGTCAGCAGTGTGCCCTTGTAGCTAAGAAGGCTAATGGCATATTAGGGTTCATTAGGAGAAACATTGCCAGCAGATCTAGAGAAGTGATTATTCCCCTTTATTCAGCACTAGTGAGGCTACATATGGAGTATTACATCCAATTCTGGGGCCCCCACTACAGAAAGGATGTGGACGGGTAACCCACACACCTAGTGTGGTTCACTGACCAATGCAGCAGCACCTAGACCACAGCAACAGCTAAGATCAAGTGACCTCTACAGCATGGACTAGGAGCCAACTGGCTTTTAGCTCAGAGTAGAGGCTCCTATACTCAGCTCCAGAGATCCCAGGTTCAAATCCGCCCAGTGGTGGTTACAGCCACATTGGAGAGGGTCCGTTGGAGGGCAACCAAAATGATTAGCGGACTGGAACACATGACCTATGAGGTGAGGCTGAGGGATTTTGGCTTATTTAGCTCCGGGGAGGAGGAGGGACAGGGGATTAGATAACAGCCTTCAACTTCCTAAAGGGAGGTTCCAAAGGGGGTGGAGAGAGGCTGTTCTGAGTAGTGACAGATGGCAGAACAAGGAGCAGTGGTCTTAAGTTACGATAGGGGAGGTCTAGGTTGGATATTAGGAAAAACTATTTTACTACGGGATGTAGTTGACAGAGGGATATAGATTAGTCAGATCGCTATTGCAAATGAAGCGGGGATTTAAATATCCTGTGCTTCATTTGAATAGCAATAGCCACCGCTTTTTGCTGATGTGGCACTTTGCTGGCAAAAAGCAGCAGTCTAAATGGGGATCCGTCGACAAGAAAGGTTTTTTTCGACCAATCCCTTATGCCTCGTGCAACAAGATTTACAGGATAGGTCAGAAAAAGCTTTCCTTGTTAACCAATCCCTGTCTACACTGCCGCTTTTTGCCAGCAAAGTACCTCATCAGCAAAAAGCGGTGGCCATTTCTATTCAAATGAAGCGTGGGATATTTAAATCCCCGCTTCATTTGCAATAGCGATGTGCCTAATCTACATCCCTCTGTTGGCAGAGGGGTGTAGTTTAGACACACCCTCGGAGTGCAGTGAAGCACTGGCATGGGTTACCGAGGGAGGTGGTGCAATCTCCATCCCTAGAGGTTTTTAAATCATGGCTTGACAAAGCCCTGGATGGGATCATTTAGTTGGGATTGGTCCTGCTTTGGGCAGGTGGCTGGACTCGATGACCTCCTGAGGTCTCTTTCATAGGATTCTATGATTCTTTGAGTGGGTGGGGGAGACAATATTTCTTTTGCCAGACAAGAGAAGAGAGGAGCCTTAATTCTTGTGCAAATTTGTGTATTTTAGGGTGGAAGCCACACCTTGCACATACACACAAAGGGTATTGGGGGTGTCAAGGCTATTCCCCACTCTGGCACAACAAATGCAAAATAGGGGCCCACAAAAGCACCCCAAAACCTGATCACTACAGGCTTTGGTACAAAAACTTCCCTCCAAAATCCTAATACCCAGATTTTAGGGAATATCTGCTGTCTGTAGTAGCTGCTCCCTAGTCAGAGGCATGCGGATACCCACAGACAGATTTTCCAGGACACAAAAATGAACCAATACCAGGTTTATTAGAAAAAGAAAACAAACTTTTATTATCGAAACAACATTACCATTGCAAGCATAGTTGAGGTGGCTAGATGATAAGAGCCACCAATTGATATACTCATGGGGTGCCCCCCCACCCTTACCCCCGATGTCATGGGCTCAAAACTTAATTACAAATGAGAAAAAAAAAAACATTTTTAACAGCACAGACATCAGTTCCGAGTTCCCAACCCATTAAAACAATAAAACCTGACGGGCTAACTACTTTGTCCTACTAACACATTATAACAGGTCTTTTCTTAGACAGAGTCAGGCCTTTCCATCTCCCTGTTACTTGGAAGAAACTGCTGTGACTCAGACAAAGGAGGGAAGAGAGAAAAATACCTTTGTCCCAGTTTGAAATCCCTACCTGTATTGTTATTGGCTGACCAGATACTCAGCTAAGGAGAGGAGATATAGTTAACCCTTTTGGACGTCAGGTTGCTGGTCAGCCCTCATGGTTATGACAGGGGAAAAAATCATAAGGCCTAATTTAACTTATAATTGTCATCTTATACTCCTTAAGCTCTATTCATAGCCATGGGTGTTAGGAATTTTCTATGGGTGCATCTACACTGCACTGTTATTTCGAGATAACTAGCGTTATTTCAAAATATCAATGTAAGCGTCTACATAGCCATTCTGTTATTTTGAAATAATTTCAGAATGACGGATGGCTAGTTCCTAAATCTGTAAGCCTCATTCTATGAGTAATAACGCCTATTCTGAAATAGCTATTTCAAAATAAGGCATGTGTAGGCATGCTACTGCTGCTATTTCAAAATAGCTCCTCACCAGGGCCATTCTAACTTTTTCCTCCCCAGTGCCTCCTGGGGCTCTAAATGGAGATAGCATGTCTACATTAGGGAAGCCTGCCTTGGACTAATTTTGAGTTATTTTAGAATAATTATTCCGGAATAGCTTATTTTGAAATAACCATGCGGTGGTAGTTATTTAATCCTCAGGTTTGCACAGAGCAGGCTGAGGTAGCACCCACCCTCCCTCCTCTTTAGGTAGTAAACTACCAGGTTTGGCCTAGACCTGCTATGGGCATTATGCTAGCTGCCCCTTTGTTGAGTGGGGCCTGGGAAGGAATTTTCCCCTTGTCACCATATTGTTCTAGGGACAGTTTGGTTCATACAAGATCTGTTCATGAATGGCACGAAAGGCAGTAGGCTTACATTGCAACTCATTATTCAAGTATAGGGCCTATGTCCAATGCAGAGGAAAGGTATACAGTGACCAGACTTTAAAAGAAGTGTGCAGAACAAAGGAACAATCAGGGAGCACTTAGGACTCCTATGATTGGTACAGTGGGGACCAACCCCCATTATTATATCCCATCTTAACCCTTATACAAGAGTAGATGGATAGGAAGGACACAGCAACCATTTTTGCTAGAGAGAACTGGATGGAAAAAGATGAGTGGTGCTAAAAGTTCCCCCTCCAGTTAACCCAAGTTAATTACCAGGATTACCTGCACTGTACACATTTATCTGCTGGGTAGGCCCAGACATTTAATAATAAAAATGTAGCCTGATTAACCCCATTAAATGTCTCATATTCCTTCTTTCAGTAAAGCCAGACAGTATTTACATTTATAGCCACCAACTAAACCAGATTTAAACTAAGAAAAATACTTTCAAATGTTTACAGAGAAAATGGCTCTAGTTTCGTTAATTTGGCATAACATAGCATCTTTGTTTATGTCAGTACACATCTTTGATTAAACTAAGCCTTAGAAGTTGGATGTTCCCTCTCTGTGACATTCTATTTACAATAATATTTATTAAGAATTAAGATCAATGAAAAAGATCTGACTGAAACAAAAGAAATGTGTGCACAGATAAGATAACACTTTGTTCCATTCTGTCCTCTGACAAAGCCTATCAGAGACCCAGCTCTCTGCCTTTCATGGGTAGACTGCATGTAGGACACTCTGACTGTGCCTCCAGACATTCTCCCCACAACCTTTTCAGCTATATTATTCTATGATAATTAGGTGTTTGCTATAAAATCAGGCAATTCCACCCATGAATGTATTTACAGAGATGCCCTCTCTGAGGATCACCATTTCATATTACAGTACATTGTATGCTTTTAAAGGCATTTCCTATTACAATCCATGCCATCAGGTAAACAGGTCTGAGGGGTGCTTTTTTCCCCTTTTGTAAATGTTATTCTTCCATGTGTTCCTTCTGAAGGTAGAATTACCCAAGTGGGGGCTCCTAGGGCTTGTCAATACTGTCCTTCAGTTCAAAGTATAAGGGTGTGAACAGTAATTAGCATCAATGTAACTCCCCAATG